TTATCGCATATAATAGGTTCACCAACAATTATGGCAAAGCTGACAATGGGTTTCTGAACAGACATTGAAATAGACTTGCCAATTGGTCCATTAAATGAATGGGGTCCAGTTGTTGCACCATCTAAGGAGTGAAAAAGATGTCGCAAAGGAAGCTCGTTCAGATGTAAAAGACAAATGGACCAGTGCAGTGGTCGACCAAGTTCAATTTCCATTCTGCATATAACTCCATTGTTTAAACCAGTATTAACGTTAGTTGAATCAGAACCAATACAAACAAGGTTCGTGCAGTCAACAGTATCAGTTATTGAATCTGCAATGGATTTGGCTGATCCACTTGTTGGCGTACAATGACCAACATACTTTGAATTTGGCTCTGATAAAATGGAAATATGTTCCTCAGAAATCACAGTCTGCCTATCCCCCTCAAGTTTTAAAGTCTGATCTTTCCTTCCATCAAAATACAATCCAGTAATTCTACAATCAGCATTTTTACAGGATGTTCTCAGTAGTTTTCGTTCTCTGCAAATTTTATTCCGATCCACTGGCCCCATATGTTCTATACCAAAATCAACCAGACTTGCTGATACAATCGCGGCAACTGCTCTATCTGATATGCCAAAACCATCTGCTTGTAGAGCAATATTTTTTAAACAACGGTTTTTCAGACGAGTAGATGTGACTTCGGTATCGACATCTGATACGGAAGGGGAATAAGTTTCGGTGTCAGAATTGTTGTCTGTTTCATTATCTGATTCATTATCAGATGCATCAACGACTCTGGCACACTTAACTGCAGTCTCTTCCTTTGATAATGAAACAGATTTTCGTTTTAAACGCCTCTAAGCACGTGCGGATTCCTACTTGTCAATTCCATCTATTCTGCCAACACGTATAGTGCATTGATCAGTTAGGAAGTCATGCTCAATTGCTGGCATCTTCAGAACCATTGGACAGCAACAAGACGAAAGTTCTTTGCATTTACACGAACAAATGTCAAACAATGTGTCAAGATCTTTTTCTATTTCATCTTGTTTGACTGTTGCAGACTTTGATCGAATCACTTCCTGAACATCGCCTATGTACTTCTCCAGCTGTAATTCTATGCCTCGAAGACTTATAGTAGGAACTGATGCTTTAATCCATATCTGAGAAAGTTTCTCTGCTAGTCTCTTACAAACAGACCGTAGTGGTTCAGTTTCATAATTCTTCTCAGACAAGTATGCTTTGCCTACTTGCTTGTGGGTTGGCAAGCAAAAATTGGGTAATTCACAACCTTCTCCAAAAAGTATATGACGATTCTTTGAAGCTTTAGATCTTGAAATCATTATTATTTTACAATTTTATAACATATCAGAATTTCAGTTAATTTCTAAAAATACAAGATGAGACGGATAAATTCTGCAATCAGTTGATAAAAGCAGAAATTAATAAACAATCATATAAAATTAGAATAATATAATAATAATAATAATATAATAATAATATAAAGTTATAATAGCATTGGAGTTAATCATATCATTAGGGTTTATTTAGTTAGGTAGGTATAGGTTTGGTTCAATTTCATAACCTTGGGATTATATCTAGTATTAGGGTTAAATGCATGTTTCAGTTAATGCATGTACTAAAGTAAATATACTTAGCATATAAAACCTTAAAACTTAAAAATGCAAAGTATAATCAATTCTTTAGAAATATTTTTTTTGTAAATATTAAACAACACTATATCACGCCACTTTTCACAAATTCTAAAAAAAATTAATTTTTATGATCCGGCCTAATATACATATATATATATATATATATATATATATATATATATATATATATATATATATATATATATATATATATATATATATATATATATATATATATATATATATATATATATATATATGTATATATATATATATATATATATATACATATATATATATATATATATATATATATATATATATATATATATATATATATATATATATATATATATATATATATATATATATATATATATATATATATATATATATATATATATTCTAATAAATAAGACTTTTTTAATTTTTGTTAAAATCATTTATTTTATAATACATGGTTCGACTATATCATAGCCATCATCAGTTAAAATATATTAAATTAAAAATCAAAATCAAAAAAATTAAGTTGAACTAATAGAGATCTTATAATAAAAATTAAAAAATTACAATTAATTGTTACAATTAAAAAATGTAACAAATGTTTTAAAAAAGATAAAAGACAAAAAAACCGGTAATGTTAAAAGGAACTAGATTGATATTGTCATTTTTACATGGTTCATTTCTTTAATAATAATGGGTTTTTCCCACTCTATGTACATGCTTTCTTTGAGTTTTAATATAAATTTGTTGGAGGTCGAATCCAAGATTGAGAAACTAGCATGATTAAAACTATTAAAACAGCTTTCATTTGAATGAATATGTTTATAAATGTGTGAGTTTTTATCCTTCTTTTGGTGCTCGATTATTCGTGTCTTTAAATGGGGAGTAGTTTCGCCAATATAAAAGCCCGCGTATTCAAATTTATAGACAATGAATGAATTAAAGTCTGTAGGAAAGGGATCATTTGTGGGAAAAAATTTTGAAATTTTAAACAAATCAAAAACCAATCTTACAGTGACCAATTTACAATATCTTTTAATGACTGCGATTAGTCTTTGTTTGGTTAAATCTGATATTTTTCCAATATAAGAAAATTTAAAATATTGATAATTGTGTAGGTTTTCTGAAATGTTGACATTGATGTTGTTAATATAAGAGCTACGAGTTTTCTTAATCAACCAAGATGGGTACAAGTTGCATTTGAGAACTTTAAAAAGATCGTTAATATCATGGCTAAGACCAAAACTAGTGTTGTTTATTTTATAAGCTCTATCGATTAAACATTTAACCAGACTAACTTTGTATGAAAATGAAGTAAAATTAAAAAAATTTGTGTAGAGTGCTGAGAAAGTTTTCTTATGAAAAACAGTGGTAATTGTGGAATTGTTTGTTTCCAGTTTATCATTTCTCTTACAAGTGGGATGCCTATATTATTTTTTTACTATACGTTTTACTATAGTGGCTTTGTTTTGTTCTGAATATCTGTTTAAAATATCTATTTAATTTTATTGTCTTTTTTTTCTTCCTAATTTTTTAGGTCCAGTTTGGTCCTGTCCTTTGGTGCATATTTTTGCGTTTATTTAAACTTAAATAATAAATTTCAGAAAACTACTTTTCTGAAACTATGGTACCCTTTTGGGTAATGGTAATTTTTTAAATTAATTAGAGTAATATACTATTTTTGCAATGGCGGTTAGTGTTTTTATCAAAGCTAGGAACAGTCATAAACTCTATTTCCAACTAACAAAATGAAATCTTGCTGTTCAACTTCAATTTGTTAGTGCTTATTAAAATTTTTATTTTATTTTTAAAAATAAATCTAATGAGGAACCCATTCCGTTTCCACATTCTATATACTGAAATCTGTTTAAATCTTAGGCCAATTGAAAGTTTTTTTTATCCTAAAAAAAGACAATGGAATTTCTGTTGATGTGCAACAATAATTAGTATAGTTTTTTGTAATTTTCTCAAAATTCAATTTACTCAGGTTCAGCGCATTTTGCAAATGGACTCCTCTAATATACATTCATGTTAAGTTTTTATACTGATGTTTAACTGATGGATAAAATGAGATAAAATCGTATATATAAAGAATTGTAAAAAGAAAAGAGAAAATTAATTAGACAAAATGAAAATATTAATTAAAAAGGGAGATTGAGCTTGATAAGAATGATAATTCAATATTAAAAATATTAAATTATTTTTCAATAATTGAAAAGTAATTCCATTAATATAAAAATAATAAAAATAATTTCATGAATATTTTCTTTTGTGTAGTAATAATTATATTTTAAGGTACTACAACAAGCAGTAAAGCAGTTTGTGTTGTTGGATAATGTTCTCTTGAACACTTATCAGGTATGTTTTATTATTTAGACTGTTTTCAGAGTGTTCTTAATCGAATGAAATTAAAAAAAAAAAAAAAAATCAGCCATTACTCATCAATAAAATACTGATCAATAAAAGATATCTTTTTAAATAAAATTTAATAAAAAAGAAGTTTGTCAAATAAGTGTTAGATAAAAAAAAAAACAACTAAACTTACCATGTCTGAAACAAATCACAGAACTGTGTTTCTTTTGTTATTAGTTCTTCCAAAACAATTCAACTATTGTAATAAAGAATTCAGGTTTATTGTTGGCAATAGGACTTACTAAAAATTAAGAAAACAAAACTTTAAATGAGTAAAAAAGGGGACTTGCTACAAATTAAGTAAGCAGGAATTGATTAATGGGGTTTAGACTTTCTGCAAATTTCCCATATTTAAAATCTTATAAAATTTACCAGTTTTAATTATTGCAACTTTATTTTCTTCAAAATTATTATAAAAAAATTAAATTGCAATATTATTGCAATATTTAAAAAAATATATTGATTAGTGTAGCTATCATAAAGAGAAATTTTAAATAAATAAATTTTGTTGTCAAACACCATTTTTTCCAAAATTTTGCAAATTTTGGTAAAATGGTGATTGAAAATTTGGTAAAAAAAATGCTAATTTTATTCATAAATATATATATTTTTTTAATGAAACTGATAACATTCATGTGCTAGATGTTGTTGTAATTTGCAGACCACTGCCAAATATGTAATGTTCATCTTTGACTTAAAGTGGATTAGGGTAATGGTTTAACACACCCTATTATGGAAAAGGATTAATTCTAATAAATGTTTTTATCTTAATTTAGAAAAAGAAAATTTGGTATCAAAAACAAGAATTATATTTTACTACTTTACAAAATAAAATAATAACACACATATCAAGGGAATTAGAAAGAGGGTGTCTCCCTCCCCCAAACCAAAAAACAATATTTTGTTTAAATTGAGATTCAAAAAAAGATTCGAAATGTTGTTATCTAATGACATTTAAAAATGTTATTGTTGAATTAGTATGATACTATTCATGTCAAAGGTTGTTCAATAATTCAATCACACATAGCATCATTTATATTGTCAATTTGTTTAGTATGCAGTTTTTTATATAAATATTTTCATTAGTAACTAATTTTTTAACTTTCTTTTTCCTTTTTTGACATTTAAAGTTTTATCTTTCACATCACTGAACATTACCATTAACTCATCACTGTTTATGTTATAAATTCTTGCACTGGCTATTTCCTCTTCAAGTGCCTTTGTAACAGTAATAGAAAAACAGTAAAAAAAAAATAAAACTTATGCTTTCTATTCAAAATCTCTTCTTTATGCAATTAGATAAAGTCATGGTAATAAGCAGGTCATCAGTTGTGCACATATTTGTTATTGATTTCAAAATATTTGGTACAAAAAGGTTTCAAAAAAAAATTCTGAAAAACATGGTTGCTGGATTACATTTGCAATCTTGAATTATTTGCACAACATTTTTTAAGTATCTTGAAATCAAGTATCTCTTCACTTCACTGTTATCCTGACATTTTAATCCTTACAATTTTTCTAAGTACAAACAGGCATATTTGTTTTTTACCAGTTGTATTATAAAAAAATGCAAAAATAAATAAAAAATCTTTGCAATTCTATTTGCTACAAACATGCTCCAGGGAAATGTATAGTTCAATAACTAATTATAAAACTTTATTCCTAATAAAATAACTAGACAATAGCAATCATGGTGTGCCACAAATCTAAGCATCAAAACCTAAAATCAAAATCTAAGCATCATCACTAAACACCACTATATATATAGTGATGTTTAGTGACCTAATAGCTATATTAAAAGCCTGTATACTGATTCTTAATATAACCATTAGGTATGATGTGTAAGTATTTTCTGTGTGTTATGTCAAGTCTAGTGCAATCATAGGCCAGTTACAAGAGTGAATTAAAACCCAAAATAATCTGGAATGTGCTAGTCATATAAAAGAGCCCATGTTTGATTAGACACCTATACATGGAGAAATCTCTGACATAAGACCTTACCAAGGAATGCTCTGAGTTGGGGTTAGTCCTGTATTCTTAAGTCTAAAATAGTTTAATCATATTCATTATGGCTTTCAGCATAAACTTTGTGAATGGGCTACATTAGTATTCAATTTGATAATTAGTATCAAATTTTTAATTGTGGCGAACGTTGTGAAAAAACAAAAACAAATTTGCTTATGAGGTTGGGTTCTGTTTAGAAACTTCTACTTTCAATTTTATCCAACAGTTTTTAATAGGGTTTTTATTCAGTGAATTGCTTGGCCACAAAAAAAGAACATTCTTTGCATTTTCCTGGAGCCATGTTTTGAAAATTTTTGGTGATTGTCAAGTTGCCCTGTTGTGCATAAAAATATTAATTGTAAAAGTTAAAACCAATCAGACACATTTCTCTTCAAAAATTCAATATAATTTGCGGAGTCTAGCCTTGTTGTAAAAAGGTCAGTGATTGCACATCAAGTTATAATTGCTAGGCATTGCTTAAAAGAGGGTGCAATATATCAGGGATTGAAGGTTATGCTTGGTAGTCAGAAAACATCGACTTTGTGTGCTGCAAACTTAAACAAAATAATCATTGTGTTAATTTCAAAATTTGTTATAAATTTAGGTTATTATATCTAGTCATAACTTTAGTTTGTATGGAAAAAAAAAGCCTTAATATTGCAATTTTTGTTTTATTAATTTTATTATGATTTGTTGCAATTTATACTTGCATCAAATCATAGTTTTGTGATCAAAATTTAATTTGAATCAAGTCTAAAAGTTAAATTTTACACCTTAAATTCTAGTGTTGTGATTGAAACTAAAATTAATTACTTAAGTAGTTAACTATTTAGTAAACTTTGTCAGGTCAGGTTATCTTACTACTAGTAACATGTAGCCCAGTACAAGCTGCATCATGCCTTGCTGCCTTGTAAGATATGCCTTTTTAGGCAAAGGCTAGGAGATGCCAACTCTGACATAAAACACCCCCTGCCTTGGAGATGGTGTCTCAATAAAAATACTCATCTCGGGCAGATGTTAAATGCATCCGGCTACTGTTTTGTAGAAGGCCTTCTAGGCAAAGACTTAAGGGGTAAACAGATTCTATCTGTTGACCAGCCTCACACCCCTTCTTCATCTATTAGGCTGGCACAGATGTATTTTTAACACATTGTTTCCAGTTTAGGATGTCAAATGCCAGATCTTCTTGACTCAATGCATGGTTTTGCTTGTGTCTCTGTTTTTATGACTAGGCAACTCATTCTATTATCTCCTAATAAGCGTATAGCTCTAAGACTCAGTTTATGGTTCTGAGGCTGGCTGGTAGTCAGGTTTCCTGAACTATGTGGAGCTCTCAGAGAGAGCTACCACATAGTTCTCCATTGTCAAGGCCACATTTGGAGCCCTTTGTTACAGCTTAGGGTTTTCTAATACTAATGAGGCAATTGCTTGGGCTATTAAATGGTGTACTGAGTACTATCTATGCATCAAGTCAAGTTCTTTAACAAATTTGAAAATGAATAAAGTACCAAAAACTATAAAACACAAAAAACCATTGTCATCACCAAGTTCTCTAAACCTATCATTCACTAATATTCATGGTCTTCGAAGTAACTTTTCTTCTGTTGAGTTTTATCTCTTGCAAAGTTCATCAGACCTACTTGCTCTTTGTGAGACTAATTTGAGTTCAGCTGTCTCATCTTGTGATCTTAGTGTTGATGGTTATCTTCCTTTAATTCGTAAAGACTCCAATAATCACATGCTTGGCCTGGGCATTTACATTCGTAAGAATTCACCCATTTGTCAGGAAACTAGGTTTGAATCCACAGACTACTCTTTTATGTGCTTTTGTTTAGCACCACTTCATTCTATCCCCTTTGTCTTTGTTCTATATCGCTCTCCTTTATCTCAAGACTGCACTCTTGTTGATGTTATTTCTGATCATATTGACCAAGCCCTCTCTCTTAATCCATCAGCCAATATTGTTGTTGTCAGTGACTTTAATGCTCATCACACTGAATGGCTGGGCTCTAGTGTCAGTGACTCTGCAGGCATTAAAGCCTACAACTTTTGCCTTTGTTTTATTGTGCATTAGATAAAGGTAGAGAGGTTAAGGCCATCGCTCTTGACATTTGTAAAGCTTTTGATAAAGTTTATGCATTTATATACATATAATATATATATATATATTATATGTATATAAATGCATAAACTTGGCATTGTTCGCTGATGATACTACCATTTATTCTTGTCATGATAAAAAGCCAACACTCTCTGATTGCTTGGAGGGGCATTTGAGCTTGAAAAGGGTCTTACTTCTGCTACAGCATGGGACTTACAGTGGCTGGTGAACATTAACTCAGATAAAACTCAATTTTTTTCAGCCAATCGTTATCACAATAATTCAGACCTTCCTATATTTTTGAACGGTAATGTACTCGATGAGTCATCTACCCTTTATTTTCTAAGATAACTTTCGATCTTTCTTGGAAACCATATATCAAATCTGTTGCAAAATTAGCATCCATTAAGGTTGCATCTCTTTATCGAGCTTGACACTTTCTTACTCTGCATTCTATTCTCTATCTCTATAAATCTCAAATCCGGCCTTTTATGGAATATTGTTGCTATATCGGGGGCAGATCTTCTAATGATGTCCTTTCTCTTTTAGACAAGGTGCAAAAACACATTGTAAACATAGTTGGACCTGCTCCTGCAGCCAACCTTCAACCATTATCACATCGTCGTAATGTTGCTTCTGTTTCTCTTTTCTACAAATACTATAATGGGCACTGCTCTAAAGAGCTAGCGTCTCTTGTGCTATCTACTAAAATTCATTCTCGTGTTATTCGTCATTCAATTAAGTCTCATCTTTTTTTTGTGACTTTTCCTAAGTGCTTCAAAAACTCTTATTCATCTAGATTTTTTCCTTGAACATCAGTTCTTTGGAATTCGCTTCCTTCATCTTGCTTTCCTGATTCATATAATTTGCAATCTTTTAAGTCGTCTGTCAATCGTTATCTTGCTCTACAATCTTCATCTTTTTTCTTCCAGTAACTTCCAACTCTAATTAGTGGTCGCTTGCAGCCTTTTTGTAAGCGAACATAATTAAAAAAAAAACTTAGTAAACTAAACAAAACAAAATTAATGGACTAACTTTTTAGTTCGACTAAAATTAATCAACTAACTTTCGATTAAAATTTGTTTAAGTAACAGTTCAACTAACAATTCAACTAACAGTTCAACTTTCTATTCTAATCAATATTTTATTCTAACTAAAAATGTTTTGTGACTTATGTAATAATTAATTTAAAAAATATTAAATGTCGAAGCTTTTTAGTCAACTAAATTTAGTATATACTCATCAAATAGCAACAAAATGTTTTTTTTTTTAGACGCTTAATCTTATAGATAAGACAATGGAAAGATTATCAGACCAGTAATTTAGTTTATTTTTTATTTAATTTAAAATATATATATATATATATATACTTGTTTCAATTCTTAATTCTCAAGCTTTATTGTTTATTAGTGATTTCACGGCAAAAAAAGGTTTCTGAGTCTTTTAATTGAATTAAAAGTCATCGGTTAAACTCTATATTCTATTATCATAGTATTTATTATCTTTAGAACTGTTTCAATTGATGTTGGGTAAGTAATTGATTTAAAGATCTTAAATTTTATTATTTCATAATTTCTTAATTCTTAATTTCCATTAGTGATTTAAAAGCTTAAGTAGTTGTTTTTGTTTATATTTATTTGTTATGTAATTTAGTCTTCTTTTTTTTTAGTTTACAGAGTATTGAGGGTGTTAAAACAAAGTTAGATTCGATATTAAAGATTTGAATGCTGTTCCATGTTTCAAGTTTTAGAAGTTATTTTCTCTAATATAGATATAAACAAAAATTTTTTATCAAAGATTATCATTTAAATAAATAGACAATTTTTTAGCGAGTGTGTTGATCGAGTCAAAATTATTGACGATTGGCGTAATTTTAAGAAAAATTATCTTTTATTTTTATTTATGCTTTTTATTTTATATTAATATGTACAATTAAATCAATATATTTAATTTTATTAATTTAAGTATATGTGCTTGTTTGTTTTATTATGAGCAAATAAGAAAAGATTTTCGAAACAGGCTCTGGATTATACTTATTTGAAAAGAAAGACTTGTTATATGATTATGTTTATTTATGAAAGCAGTCTTTTAGATGTTGAGGTATAAAAGCGAATAATTTACTCTTACTATAATTTACTCTTACGGATTCAATTTTTTTTGGTTATATATATTCTCAAAACTACGTAGCCATTATCCAAGTATATGAAAAAATTGTGTTTCATGTTTAATAGAGGCTTTTTATTATACTTTTTTTTTAAATTACACTTATTTTTTTTAACATAATGTGAGATAATTTTTTTTAAAAATATATCGTGTATCTTTAGCTTATTTTCTCTGTGTTGTATGATTCCGTATTTTTTGCTCATGAATTCTATTTGAGTATTTCTGCTTTGAGTTGAATAGTTATGATCAACAGTTATTTGAACAAATTCATTTCCAAATTTTATAAGCAATCTGTACCATCAACTCAAATACGATTGTTTTCGGTGATTGATGTTGTGGTGTCGTCTTTGCGTATTGATCGTTTACTGGCTACTGGTCTTGGAACTGGAAGAAAGTTAGATATATATTTATATATTCTTTGAAATTATTTTATTTATTTATATTTTTATGTTTGTTGATGAAAGTTTTATTTAAATGTTGAATTTAAATATGCCAAACACAAATTAATTATTAATTTTAATTCATTTTTTAAAAATTTTATTTAACTTTTGTTAATGAACTTTTGCAGCAAAATCGAGTTAAGTTTGCTGAGCGGATGCGTTAAACTTAACGGAAAAACAGTAATAGATAAGAGTGTTGAGGTAAGAACTGGAGCAACAAACTTTTTCTAACTTTTATAGAAATTAATATTTTAAATTTTCTTATAACTTTTGAATATTGTAAATATTTTTTTCTTTAAATATATCTAAATTTTTTACTATTTTTATTATCAGAAATTTTTTATTTGATCATTAGTGTATCAGTAGTAATATTCAGTAATCAAATATTTATTTAAAAAAAAATTAATAATTTCATTTTTTTTATTGCACTTTTTCTATTATTTGTTTTTTTTATTTTATTGACACATCTGTATTAACTTTATTATATCTGTTTATTTTTAAAACGTTTTTACAAAATTAAAGTGCAGATGAAGAGCTTTTTTATTATATAGTGAAATCTCATTTTTATCTAGGTTTATCACATTTTTATCGAAGTTTATCACAGTTTTGTTCAATTGAAGTTTAATTTTATATTTTACTTAAGTTAAATATTTTTTAATTTAAACAGTAGAATTTAGTTGTATAAAATAAGTAATAAAAACTTCAACATTATATATATATATATATATATATATATATATATATATATATATATATATGTATATATATATATATATATATATATTTTTTATATATATATATATATATATATATTTTATATATATATATATATATATATATATATATATATATATATATATATATATATATATATATATATATATATATATATATATATATATATATATGAATATATGTGTGCATATATATATATATATATATATGAATATAATTGTGCATATATATATATATATATATATATATATATATATATATATATATATATATATATATTATATGTATATATATATATATATATATATATATATATACATATATATGTTTATATTTATATATATATATATATTATATGTATATAAATGCATAAATTTATTCATATGTGTGTATATATATAAATATATATATACTACGTTTTTTTTTGGTGTTTACGGGTGCAATGTCTTATGTGTGCTTTTTTGCTTTGCGTTAAAAAATTTTTTTTCGTCTTAAACTTGTGTGAATAGTAAATTTTTTTTATTTTACCAGTACCTGTGTAATCATTTTTTCGTTAAAGGTTAAAAAAGGAGATATAATTGATCGTATTTCCCAGGAAAATAGTACTGAAGAAAAGTACGTCTTGGCTCGAGTTCAATTGCAAGAAATCGGTGAAAAAACAAATAAAGGCAATATAAAAGTTCGTTTGATGAGATCTAAGTATATTGTAATAGAGAAATTAAACTACCAATCATCTATACAAATTGAAAGCCGTGAATAATCATGCTTGATACAAACAAAGTTTTACGAATTGCAGTTTCTTTTCTTGGCGTTCTTATCTCGCTGTACACTCTTTACGTTGAAATTCACGCTCTTGCTGACAAAAACTACAAAGCAATGTGTGATATCAATGAAAATGTGAGTTGTACTAAAGTTTTTTTATCAAAGCATGGAAAAGGATTTGGCCTGATTGGACCAATACTTGGAGAAAACTCTGCGTTAAATTTGCCTAATCCTGTTTATGGAATTGCGTTTTATGGCTTCATTTTTATGTCCTCATTTTTCTCGTCTGGAAAAAAATTGATGGGTTTTTTAACCTTGTTAAGCTTCATCAGTTGTGGCATGTGCGTTTATTTGGCGTCAGTATTATACGCTATGCGTCATGTCTGTTTAGTTTGTTTTTCTACGTATGCCATCAGTTTTGCCCTATTTTATTTATGCTTTAAAAGGTACAATGAACTCGTAAAAACAGAAAAGTATAAAGTCGAATAAGGATATATCCAACTTGATATGAGATTTTACTTGAATGATGAACATACAATTTAAAATATAGCTAATTATTTATAATGTTCAATTTTGATTTTGTTTTTTGAATTTGAATTAACATAAAAATTCGATTTTTAATTTGCGCTGTAGTAATATTTCCATTATCGTAAATTAAAAATAGTTTTATAACCAATAGTTATTTTTTGGTTTTGTTAATTAATTAATTCGGTACCAATAATTATTTACATAAATTTCTTAACATTTAATTAAATAGATAATTAAGTAAATTTTGTTTCATTTAATTAAACAATTTTATTAAATTTAAAATTTAATAGAATTGTTTAATATTATTTAGCATGTTCTGCTTATTTATAATTTTGAATTTAACCCCTTCTAATCCCGGGGGCAGAGTCGCGATTTTTTGGTGTTATAGTTGTGTTACTTCAAGGTAAAGTGAAAGCATCACACACATACACAGAAAGTTCAAATAATTAGTCACGTCAAACATTTTTTTCAAACAAGTTCAACTAAAAAATTGGAACATATTCATTTTTATCTTCCTGAATTGACATACAGCTATTCATGAAAGTTTAAACGAGAGTGTAATTTTGATCAAGTAGGTTTATTTTTTTCTTAATAAAAAAATAAATAAAAATGATGTCGAATTTTTTTTTATTTGTTAAATAAAAAGTAATTTGGTTTAAAATAAATGTAAACTTGTTATTAAATGATTTATATAAATTTAAAAAAAGTTAATTACAAACATAAACATGTGAAAAATGAGTAGCGCAAAAGTTTAAACGAAATTTTACAAACAAATAAAAAATGGAAATAAAATGCCAAGTTAATATTTAAAATGTTCGCTTTTGTTTTTATAGCAAAGGTAAACTCGTTTCTGCATCGATTCAACTAATTTCATGCACATCTCTCCAGATACCTTCAACCAGTACTCATTCAAAAGTTGCTTTAAGTGCTCAGTTGATTGTATTTGGTAATAAGTAAGTTGATTGTCAATCCAAGACCAAATATTTTCAATTGGGTTGAGATCTGGTGATCCAGGGCACCAAGGGATCACATTTATCTTTTTCTGCAAAAAATATTCTTTGATTGATTTAGCTGTATGAGCTGGAGCCCCGTCTTGTTGAAAGATAAATTGCTTGCTTCTACCATACAACTGTCTGATTGATGGAATTAAACACGTTTCCGATGTATTTTTGTAGGTGTACTGATTTATTCGGCCTTCGTACAGCTCACACATGCCGATACCTTTGTGAGAAAAACATGCCTAAATACCAATGAAACCTCCACCGCCTTGTCGACGTGGTTGCAAAAACCGTTCTGAATATTTCTCCGTTGCAAATCTTTTGACATATAGTCTTCCCTTGCGGTTTACAACTTGAAAATTTGCTTCATCACTCCAAATAACTTTTAACCAGCCTTCAACAGTCCAGCCTAATCTTTCTTTTGACCATATTCGCCGTTTACGTCGGTCCATGATTGATAAAATAGGTTTTCTTGCTGCAATGTACGTTCCATTACTTTTTTGCAGCAATGTTCGCCTAACGAGCTCTCTGCTTACATTATGTTTATTTTTCGACTCGTTGAAGATTTGTGCTAGCTTTTTGTAGCTGTGCCTAGGATTCTCTCTGCAGCTTTTGAATATGCTACTTTTTTCACAGTCACTAAGCTTCGATGGTCTCCCGGAACGCGGCATGTCAACGACGTCCTTGGTAAGCTTCCAGGTTTTGACTGTTTTTCGTACGCAAGATTCAGAAACCCCAAGTTTTTTTGCCTATTTGAACGTTGCTGTGAATTTTTGACTTAGACATACCAATAATTTGCCATTTGATCTAACTTGAAACTGGATTTCGCCCCGTTTGCACGCAATTTGAAATTATTTGAAATTTGCAATGATTTCAGTTGATTTTCGTTGAATATGAAGCTGTTGAATAATGTTATGACGATTTTTATTGACTGAAAACCACTCAATCTACGTTTATGTTTTAAAACAATTTTCGCAACGGATTAATTAATTACTTAACAAATAATTGAATTTTAATAAACTCGTTTAAACTTTTATGACACCAATTAATTTCTCACATCTATCTATTAATCAAATTCCCAAGAGATCACTTATGAGTCGAAACTTACTTTTTTTATTTATTTTTGATCAGAAAACCTAGTAACCGAATGGGTAAAAATTATTTTGATATCTATTTCCGTTACATTTTTATTAAAGAAAAACCAAAGATTTGTTCTTAAAATTACACCCTCGTTTAAACTTTTGTGAATAGCTGTAAATCACAAATCAGGTTAATCAAATCTCTTAAATTAAAGTTTTTATTTTTGCTTTAATTAAACCACTGTTTGTAGTAGGCCCAGTGCCGCCTTTACTCACGATCATTATGGGCATTTGCCGGGAAGCCACAGAGTGGACACCCTGCAAAAACAATCTAGATTATTTTTATTGATAAAATTAAAAAGAATGCAAAAAAAATATTTTATTAACACATAAATATGTAGGTACATAATTTACTATATTGACATATGTATAACTTGATAATTGTGTAGTACAACTGTGTGTAGGCAGATTTTCTTATCTATGCTTCTTTTTTTTGCATTTATAATTAATTTTTAAAGTTTTTACAGTTTTCATTATTTTTGGATTATTATTTTTTTTGATTAATAAAAGTGCATAAATTTATCTGTGTTTAAGATGAGATTTTTTTTATAATGTTTTAAGAGAGTTCAGGTTATTCGATTTTGTAAATTTAATAATTTTGGACATTACTTTTTTGTAGAGATCAGGACCACGATATGAAATAGAGAAACTTGAGATGATTTTTATAAAATAGTTTTATTTTCATTTAGGTGCCCCAATAAGTCCTTACGATCTAATCACATAGCACTGTGGATAATCATTTAATAGGATCCTTTGTGTCTGAGGCAAGTGCGCTACCGCTGCGCCACGGCTGCTCAAATAATGAAATAATATTATAAATAATAATTTAAAATTTTTTTCTCTTGTGTCATCTATTTTTGCTATTATTAATGAATTTTTTAGAGAAATACAGTGGAAGAAGTCCAAGTTTGTATTTTAGCATAAACAGCAAATATGTTAATTTGATAGACATTTAATGCTTGTTAGGTACTTTGATAGATATTAAATGCTTTTAAGCGTTTTGAACCCATGCAATGTTAGCGTATATACATAAAAGTTTTTCATGAAAAAAAAAATTTTTGAGACAACAAAGGACTAGATTTGTATAGTATGCCGATACCATCACAAGGTGCTGATGTCCTCTACTCTCCTCTTAGATAGTATATAGATGTTTATTGATATCTTATTATTAAACAGAGTTATTTGAACATTGAGTTTTGAAAGCCATATTAGGGCAAATATTTGAAAAAAAACTATTGAAATTTTTAATTATAGAAATCTTATCGTTAATTTTATTTGTTCATTAATTATAATTCTATCTGGCAAAGTATTCAAATTTGTATAGTTCTTCCCAATTATAAGTTTTTTAATAATGCTGATATTTTTTTGGAGTTGTTTTGAGTAATATATTTTTTTGGAATTCTTTTTAGTTTTTTCAAACAAGTTTTTATATTCCTTGCATCTAGATAAGTTTGTTTTGTTTCTATTTTTAAAACACATGATGTAAAGTTTTTACTTTGTTTTTGTTAATTTCGGTGGTCTCGTAAAAACCTTCAAAATCTTGTTCTTGGTTTGACCTTTTAATGTTTTGGTCTTAGTATTGCTTTTAAAGTCTCTGATTTTAGCATATTCCTAAAGTAGTATAAATTATAAATTGTAACACGGTGCTCGGCGAAAAGGCAAATTAATGCCTTCTTTATGGTCCGGCCATTAACTTAATTGTAAATTTATGTAAACTGTAATACATATTCAACGGCAAAATAAAATGTTAAAAAAAAAAAATACATATATAAGTTACAATTATTCCTTTCAATATGCTCCAAGTTTTTTTAATAATGGTAATATTTTTTTAAATTGTTATGAGTAATAGATTTTTTTGGAATTCTTTTTAGTTTTTTCAGATGAATTTTTATATTCCTTGCATCTTGATAAGTTTGTTTCGTTTCAATTTTTAAAATACTTGATGTAAAGTTTTTACTTTTTTTTTGATGATTTCGGTGGTCTCGTAAAAACTTTCAAAATCTTGTTATTGATTTGTATTTTGTTCTTGATTTGATGTAAAAACTTTCAAAATCTTGTTCTTGATTTGACCTTTTGATGTTTTGGTCTTAGTATTGCTTTTCAAGTCTCTAATTTTAAGCATATTCCTAGTAGTAATACATTCTATATTCTACAACTATTATTATATTTGTTAAATATTATATAATACAAGTAAGGTAAATAAGGTTACATTAAAAATAAACATAAACATGATAATCTTAAAATTTTTACTTCAAGTGCTCTGTGATAAGACCGTACGGACCTCTGGGAGAACCTTAAAAAATTATAGGGGGAAAAAAAAGTATTTTTTAGAAGCGTAATCTTAAATTTTTTTTTTAGAAACATATTTTCTTTTTCAAGAATTGAAGATTTTTCTTAAAGTTGGAGTTTTCTTACTTTTAAAATTAAGCTGAAAAAAATTATCTTGTCAATTTATAATATCTTTGAGTTCTTTTGAGTTTATACTTTTTAAAAAAGTGTGTGATTCCTGAATATATTGTTTTATTTTGAAATATTTTGTTTTATATATATCCTTTATGTTGTTAAACGTTATTTTAAGTTTTGAAATATCTGGTTAGATTTAAATTTTATTTCTAAACGTCATTTATTGTAATTATTTAACTGGTTATTTTTTTACTTCATTATTAAACAGTTCTCAGTGACAGGATCTTACGATCCTCTTTGAGTCTCCGTGATCTGATATTTAATGTACAAAAATATTTATATCATAGTACATTGTAATAAGAACATAAAAAAAATAAAAAAAAAATATATCCTTAATGATAGTTCTTTTTTTTATTTGAGTTCCACTACCCAGTTGCATATTTCAAAATTTCAAGATCATTTTCGGAAATTATCTTTAAATTTTTTTTTTTTTTTTGCTTTGCATTATGTTGTCTAGATTTAGTTCATGACGAAAAGGGTGTGGGGCCGTTTGTTTTTCAACTGCAACTCAAAAATATCAAATGTTACTTTATTTTTCGACAAGCAAATAAATAATTTTAGTTATTTTGCTGTGCTATTGGTGATATATCCTGGATAGAAAATAAATAATTTTAGTTATTTTGCTGTGCTATTGGTGATATATCCTGGATAGAAAATAAATAATTTTAGTTATTTTGCTATTGGTGATATATCCTGGATAGAAAATAAAAGATAAAAATAGTTTTTTTATTAAGCTTTTTTATTAATTCTTCTTTATATTCACAAAACTCAAGATCATAAAAATTGGAACAGCCAAAGTTTATATAATTGGACAAAAGAGATTGCAAACCAGAGCGAGTCAGATTGAATTTCAGTGTGGATTACTGTGCGAAAATGCCTAGATAACTAAGTTTGTATATTTTTTTGTTGTTGGTGGTTGAATGAGATAGGGCATGTTTTTTATTTGATTATTTCCGGTGAGCAAGAACTCGGTTTTGTCAGCAATTAATTCTTTTGCAATTTTCTATTGTGTATACATTACAGGTTTCAATAGGTTTTTAAAGGCCTGAGAGGATAGAACTAAGAAATATGTTATATGTCATAATACCTGTATAGTTTCCATTAATTGATATATCTACGATTGTTTCCTTTTGTAAGGTTTTTAGAAGTTTGTGAGTGTATATATTATACTGATGAGGCAAGAGAATAGATGTCTCACTTCTTGTCTTAGATAAAATGGATATGATTTTCAAGCTTGGTAAGAAACAGAAGCACTGCTTTCATGGTATAATGACAGTATAAATAAACTAATTACTGTATAAATACATTAATTAGTTTTAATATTGTAGAGTTTCTCAAACATAATGTCCCAGTTGCAGCTATGGAGCATCTTGGGAACAGAGGTAGAAAGTTGAGTTGTTGTTTCTGTAGTGTTAAATTGTTTCAATAATAACGAATTTGGCATGTAAGGTTATTTTTTAGTAAAACTGAACTGAAGACAATGAGTTTCTTTTATTTCTAGACAGAGCGGTTACAACGACCAATGCCTGCTCGAGCAAGCGCGAGGCCCGACGCGAGTTTAGTTTATATAAACATATATAAATAAATTATAATATATAAATACTCAATAGTGTCACTTTTTATTATATTAAACAAAAAATACATGCTGCAATATGTTTTTCACAAAAATCATATATTATGCACATTATTATTTTTATTTTTATTATTAAATCTTCTATAGAAAACTTAAAAAAAATTCCGCCCAATGGGGCCCCGCAGGGCCTTTTTAGAAAGCTAGAGATAGATATATACCTCTTAATCTAGCTTTCCACAGAGCAATGCGAGGCCTTTTAGACGCAAGGCCCTACACGGCCGCATTGCTCGCATACAGTCTGAGCCGGCCCTGGTTGCGACATAAGCAATAAATTTTCGAATCATTTAGTTCTATAAATAAAATTTTTTAAATTTTTTTTTAGTTTTTAGAGTTTTAGTTTTTACACTTTAATTCTTTAAGTAAAACGAGTTACATATAAAGGAGTCTTTTTTTTTTCAGAATTTCTTTCGTTTATTTTTATTATTTTTTGTGTGTTCGCGTACTCTATTATAATTAAAATGGCAAAATTTGATTGGTCTTTCAAGTCGAAGTAATCTCTTTTTTCAAAGCAGATACGAAATTAATTTGTTTTATCCATGCGCGTGTGTTCATTAACAAAAACGAGTTTACTGCTAGTCGTTTAAAATTCATTTGTTTCAAAATGGACTGCAAGGTGACCTGATAGCGAAAAAATTTGGTCAGATGTTTTTAGCTTTTTCATCCATTTATTTAGCCTTATCTCTCATTTGTTAAGTTTTTATGCTAGTTTAAATTAAATAGCTCAGTCATAGAGTTATATGGTTTACTGTTAATATTATAAAAAGTCTCTATTTTTAATCTTAAAGTTTATAAGCCCGGGGGTTTGTCCTCTTTATTCTTTACTATGTTATTATTTATTTATTGCATGTAAATGTTCTATATACATTAAATTTTTTAGAGCAAGCATGCATATGTTTTGTAAACTTTTAACAAAAAACAAAATAATTTTTATTATAATATTTTTGAAATAATTTAAATAATGAATCATTTTTTCCTTTTTTTATATTTATACCTTAGAACATATACATATATATAACTATTCAATATGGCAAAGTCTGCTATTTGTGTGTTAGAAGGAATAGTTAAAGGGACAATAAAGTTTGAAGATATAGGTGATGGAAAAACTCATGTGAGCGGAAAAATTACAGGTCTACAACCTCCTGGAAAACATGGTTTTCATATTCATCAGTTTGGGGATTATTCAGGTGGTTGTATGAGCACTGGCCCTCATTTTAATCCATTTAACAAAGAGCACGGTGGACCAGAAGATGAGAATCGACATGCAGGTGATCTAGGTAACATTGTCTCAGATGATTATGGAAATGCTGATGTTAATATAGAAGACTCCCAAATTCCCTTGGATGGTCCAAACAGCATCATTGGTAGAGCTTTGGTAGTCCATCAGAATGAAGATGATTTAGGATTAGGAGGCCATAAAGATAGCAAAACTACCGGAAATGCTGGAGCAAGATTGTCCTGTGGTGTCATTGGACTTGCAAAATAATAGTCTGGATACTAATTGTTATACAGCATATGTTTCTTGTGCATTAAATTTGAAAGTTTGAGTTTATTGTTTTTAAGTTTATCTTGTTTTTGTTCTTGAATTTGTATTAACATTTTTTTTTATTCTTTTATATGTATCAGTAACTTTTTCATCAATTATCTTTTGAATGATCAAGTTTCTTTTTTCAGAATATATTTATAATGGTTAATTAATTTATGTTTTAATTAACTTATTTCATGAGTGTCACATAATTCAATTATTGTGTGTGTGTGAAAAATTGAACAAAAATTTAGTATATATATATATCAATATATATATATATATATATATATATATATATATATATATATATATATATATATATATATATATATATATATATATATATATATATATATATATCAATATATATATATATATCAATATATATATATATATCAATATATATATATATATATATATATATATATATATATATATATATATATATATATATATATATATATATATATATATATATATATATATATATATATATCAATATATATACACACACACACATTGGAGTGAATTTTCAAAAGGTACTACTAAATTTACCTACTAAATTAATTTTAAGAAATGGACAAAAAGGTGGACTACTTTAAAGCTCACATCAACAGATATTAATATTTTCTCTATCTATTTTTAGGACCAAGAGTCTATTATAGGGTGTTAGCCAGCCCAATAACACCAAGTATACCCAATTCCCAATGGGTTTAAAATTCCTGAAATTCAATGATCTTTTTTTTTTTTTTGAAGTAATAGGACAATATTAATAAAAATTCCCAATATTTTGTAGAACAATAACAATAAATATTCCCAATATTGTAAAAGCACGGTAAAAAATATATTCTTGGCTAACACTCTGTATTATTAGATCTAATTTTTAAATAGATGATAGATTTCAGTATATAAGATTCAGAAATAAAATATACTCAAAATTTTTGTTTTTCCAACTTTAAACCATTTTAAAAATTCACTCGTGTGTGTGTATGTGTGTGTTTGTATATATGTATATATATATATATATATATATATATATATATATATATATATATATATATATATATATATATATATATATATATATACACACTCCTAGTCAGCATAAATACACTCCTAGTGTGGAGATTTTGTTTTATTCTCTTAACCGTTTTTTTTTTTTTTTACTTTTTTTCATAACTTATTTTTTTTTATATTTTTATTTGAAGTCTTTTTTTATTTATACATATTTAAGTTTATTTTTTTTTTTGTATTATTTTTTTTATATATTTTAATATATATATATATATATATATATATATATATATATATATATATATATATATATATATATATATATTTATATATATATCTATCTACTATAGCATATTTATATGCTATAGTAGACTTGCTCACATTTTTTATTGATCTAAATCGATATAGGTTTTTTTGAAAAAGAAGAGGGCAAACAAAGAATAATGAATGAAAAGGTTGCTGACCCATCCTAAAATCCTTAGGCTATGTAGCAGCACTCCACTGCGAGTCAGGCTATTTGTCAGCTGATGTATGTACTGAAGCCCCCGGCAGCAGGCTATTTCAGTATGATGTCATACCTCCCACCTAAATCAGCAGTATAAGATATATACACACAGATATATATATATATATATATATACAACCCTCGGAACTAGGGTCAACATTCGGCAATGTCGACCTAACTGCTGACTTAAATGTGTTTGCAGTTATTGTTTTATGGATAAGATAGCATAACATATATACATATGTTATGCTATCTTATCCATAAAACATCGAAACAAGGTTGGCACAACCAAATTTTTTTTGCTGACTGCAAACACGTTTAGGTCAGTAGTTAAGTCGACATTGCTGAATGCTGATTGCCGATAATGCTGTGTATATATGTATATATATATATATATATATATATATATATATATATATATATATATATATATATTTATACCTATCCATTTTAGCTTTTAAATTAATTAGACTATTTATACATTGGAATGTTAACTACAGGCTTTTAAAGCTTTAAACAAAATGTTTTATTGTGCAATTTAGGAAACACAGGTATTATAGACAAGTTATTTTTATCTTTTAGTTATTTTTTCATAATTATCTTTTTTCTCAGTTTTTCATGTTGTTATGTTTTATTTATAATATGTTATGCTATCTTATCTAGCTGTACTAATATATAACTTTTTATTGAAATAAATATTAGTTAAAGTTGACAAAAACTAATTGTGCAATACTTTGAAGTAATCTATGAAAAAGTTATTGAATATGTTCAGGTAATATAAATAGTAGAGTTAGCATCAGGTTTATTTGTGTCATTTAGGTGGCAGATAAATTTTTGTAGATATGTGTTTAAATACATTGTTGGTTTTGAGAGATTTTCATCAATAGGAAGGATATCATAATAGGTTGTATCAGAAGGATCAATAACAGCTACCTAAGAAGATAGTTTGAAAGACTTGTATCTTGGATTTTGTTTTAATGATCGTGCATGTGAGGATAACAGCATTGTAGGTAATGTGGCTAAGGAAATAAGCAAGGTAAAAAGACATAAGCATAGGTTGAGACCATCGACCAAATAACTGGAGTTGCTTAAAGAGAGATATTTGTTTGGGGCAATTTTATTATCTAGATTAGTTCACTGTTTGTCAAATTTAAAGGTTGAATTTGAGTTAAGAAAGCCAAGGTATTTGTATAAGTTTACTTCTTCAACAATTTTGCCTTTTAATGTTATGACTTGCTTCGCACCTTGGCCAATATTAGTAACTTTGCATTTGGTTATGTTGAGAAACATGTTATTATCATTGTACAATTGCTGAACATCTACTACTTCTTGTGAATGCTAAGAGATTTTACTAAGTATGTAAGCTATAATATCATCTGCATATTTCTTGTGTGTAATACCTGTTGGGGGGGGGGAGTCATTTATGTCTACTACATATATTAAAAAGAGGATTAGGCCTACAACCCTTCTTTGTATCACTCATGTAAACACATCTTTCTATTTAGTAGGCTTGTTGAATATGACTTGTTGTTTGCCATGAAATCCAGGATGATAACCATGGTGCTAGGTTGATCTCAAATTGTGCATGAGAATAAGGTGGTCAACAAGTTGGAATGCATTTGCAAAATTAAATAATATTGGAGTTAGTGAGAAATTGTGGTCAATAGCATATTCCTAGTCATCTACTTCTTGTAGGGTGGCATCAGTTGTGCTTCCTCAAAAAGAAAACTAAGTTGACCACTTGATAGTAATTTATTTCCTACATAGGCAGGGGCTAGTCTAGATCGTTTTTGATAGTGTTGATCATATTTGTGCGCCACCCAAATTAAAATTTGAGGACTTTTTTTTTTTTAATTATTTTTTTATGTTTTTACAGTAATTATTGTTTTTGTTTATTGCGAAAAAAATGCTTATTTTCTACTAAAGTTCACCAGAACAAGGGGAAACCGCTGCTCAAATTTTTTTCCTAGAATAGGTCCTGTAGGGTATAATATATTTTGCAAGGATACATTCAACTAATTTGTATATTGCGAATTACTGGCAAATGGTCAGTATTTGATAGAGATGAGTTTGATATTTGTATAAAGCCACTTGTCTTGTACAATTTGTACATTTATTGATACAATGCTTAAAACTCTACTAGTTCAAGTCGTGCAGCATAAAGTGTTTAGTTAGATGACTGAGTGGTGTCAATTAGATGTATTTGAGTTGTTCACTGATATAAGAGAAATTAATGGTGTGTGATTCTGGCAGAGAGGGGATTGGCTTAAAAGGTGATAAATCTGGCTAGTAAATTTCTTGCCTAACTATATCTGAGAATTGCACATTTAGTTTGCACCAAATTCAGTATCTGTGGGTAAGTTGTGGTAGGGTCGATAGTCAACATGCATGTGACTATATACTATTCTTTCTATCAGCAATTTCAGGGTGTCCACTAGTCATGAAAATCATGGAAATGTCATGGAGCTTTATTTGCTCATGGAAAAAGTCATGGAATTTCTAAATTTTCATTGAAAGTCAGAAAACTCATGGAACTTTTTTAAATGATTTTTATTTTTGTTTCTTATAGTGATATTTTCAAGATATTTGCAAAGAAAAGTAATAGTGTATCTAGTCTAAGACCTTTTTGAAAAAGATATTGATGTGTAAGTTGTAGATTATCATTTTATTGCAATCAATCAGATCAAATTGCCCTTTTTAGAAGATTAAATTTAGAAGTTTAAATCTTAGTATTATTAAAAGAAAAAATCAGTTAGATGAATAATAAAAATACATTAAAAATTTTTGTTTGAGTTTGTATCAATCAATCAATTATGGTCTATTCAGGTCAGCTTCCTCTGTTTCTGGTAATATTTAATTCAGTACAACCTGCTTCAGTTAAGAAATTAGGGAACTTAAGAAAAGTCTGATATAAATCCCCCAAATGAATTCTGGTTAAAGATAGGAGTAACTCATAAAATATGCATGACAACCTTCCTAGTGGTAGCAACACAATAAAAATTTCTGAATATACTGTTAATTGCTGGTAAGTTAAAATCAAACTTTTATTATCTTGAACTGTTTAATTTAGTCCTTTTAAATCATCTAACTGATTACTATTGAAATTTTCTGGTGAAGTCAAACCTTGGATAACTCAAACTTCCTTAAGTCAAACCAATTTTTCGTTCCCTTTCAGCAAACTTTTTTATGCGAGTTAAAGATATTGATGTTATTTATTTATTTTTTTTAAAAAGAAAACATGCTATATGAAACTTAAATAACTAGCATAATATTTTTTAAATATTTTTTTGTTGTGTTTAGATCTGAATAGAATAGATCGTTATCAGATGTAAAATATTGCAATAATAAAACTGTTACAAGTTAAATGTTACAAGATAAATCTGTTACAAGATAAATCTGAATAATAAAACTGTTTAAAAAATAAAAGTTTATATTTTAATGAATTTCTTAATGACTGCTTTTAGTTGCAATTTTATTACTAAATAATCAGAAAGTCATTATGTTGCTAAACTTTTTTGAATGTTATCTTTTGACTGTACTACCTGAAAACAATCTGTAACTTCATTCATTGAAACATGAATACAGCGCTCGAAATAACAGCCGATCAACGATCAATGATCAGCTATTTTTAGGGAAATTTAGAAAAATTCAAGGGAAAATAAGCTGTTTTTGTCAAAAAATTACATTTGATCGGCAAGTTTTGAAAAACTATTTCGAGCGCTGTGAATATAATGGTGTAAGTTTAATGTATATACTTTAGGTTTGATTAAAGAAAAATCTATTTAACTCTAACTAATATCTCATATCAAAATTCAATGAACAGGAACTTGTTTTATTTGAACATTTATTAAGTTAAATCGTTTTTCTTGGTCTCTTGGAGGTTCGAATTATTGGGAATTAACTGTATTGACATGATCTGCATAAAACTGGTTAACAACATGATAGGCATCTGATTGTAAAAAAAATTGCTTCTTAAAATGAAATTAATGTCCTTTTTTACTGGAAAAGTTTATGTAAGTTGTATCCAAGGTGTTACCCAACCTGATGGCACCGTGTATAACGCTGTATTCCCAATTAGTTAAAAATTCCCCAAGGTTTACAAGGTCATAGTAAAAAAAAAAAAAAGTTAAGTCAGTCTCAGATTTAAAGTGTTACGCTAGACTAGTAAAAATTAGTATGCATGACGAAAAAATGAATTAAATTGATCGATTTTTTTTTAATGTTTTTTTTATAAGCAATTTAAATGAAAACTTAAGAAGATTGCTCATAATGAAACAAGTTGATTAATTAAAATTAAACATATATAAAGTAGAAAAATAATCCTGCTGTAAATGTAACTCCCAGCAAAAATAGAAAATTTATTTTGATTAAAATTTAATTGCAGAATGTAAGGCTCTTTTTTTTTTCCTTTTTTTTTTTTTTTTTTTTTTTTTTTTTTTTTTATGCACCTAAATTCCCAATTTCGCAAAAACGCTGTATGAAATTTTTCCTGGGTAGCACCCTGGTATCATATACTGGTATATCATTATAAGGATAGCATTTGCAAAGTTTAAATTCTTCAGCAATATTGCATTTTATTTGAAAAAGTATTCGGTGGTAAAGACAAATTTTAAAAAAAAAGATAGCATTACTATGCTGCTAGTCAAAAATTTTTAAAAACTGCAAGAGAGAAGCTCTTTAAAGTACATGATGGTGGGAAATGTACCATGCCTATCCCCAAATAATACGGTTAACAAAAAAAATATATTTGGATTTGCTTATTTTGACCAGCAGGTTGTTAAGTTGTATAGATGTCGTTCCAATTTTAAAAAATTCTGGTAAACATTCTGACCCCTCCAATTAATGTCCCATCAGTCTTCTTTCTGTTATTAACAAGGTCTTTGAGTCTTTGATCAACAAATATCTCACATACCATCTTGAGTCGAAGGTCAATCATACAATCAATAATAGGTCGTATGCAAGTCTATCTGTTTTTTTATTCTGTTGCTCAGTCAGGGTCTATGTTCTATGGATGTAAGCTTGTGTGTTAACATTTAGTGAAACAAAAACATAAATGCTTACAATGTGAAACACTGTATTTTGCTTACAATAAGCATTTTTCTGTTCTAAACTTTCAATTCATACATGTTGTATTCGAGATTTATCCGTTTTTGACATTTTGAAAAATGTGTAAATTATGGAACAGATTTACCCATAACGTTTTTTATAAAACAAGAAATATAATAGTGTTATGCAAAATATTAAATTAAAATAAGAAAAGCAAAGATTGCTAAAAACAAAAACAAATATTGATTTATTTTAAAACAATGTGAAGCATGACGACCTTGTCAAATTTAATAAAGTTTTGTTTTAAGTATTTTTAGAATTTTGTTAAAGGGATTCCAAACCTCCAGGACATGTTGTGTTCATATTAAAGAGAATGATAAAAAAAAAATGTTTGGGCTAAATGTTTTTAACTAGAACAAAGAGATCAGTTGTGTATGATCCCTTTAAGCATAAAGAAATTAAAATTGTAACAGAGTAGTATTTGTTGAAATGGGTGACAGGAATAATGTTGAAAAATGAACTTTAGAATAGTGTTAAATAAATTAAATAGGCCTAATGTTGCAAAAAAAAGGAATAATGTTGGAAATAAATTTAATGAATAGTGTTGAAAACAAAAAAAAGGAATAGTGTCGCAAATGAATTTAATAATTAATGTCGAAAGCAAAAAAAAAAAAGGAATAGTGTTGCAAATAGTTAATTTCAGCAATAGCTTACTCTTTTTGCCCATCTTTATAGCATACGGTTTTAACAAAAGAAAACAAAGAGTAATGAAAGAAAAGATTGCTAATAAACTCTAAACCCTTAGACGATGTAGTGGCACTCCTTTGCGGCAGCAGGCTATAAGGTAGTAGGTGTATGTACTGAAGCCTCCGGCAACAGGCTATTTCAGTATGACAGACATGTTATCTAAATACACATTTATAATCATTATTTATATATTTTTGTTACTATTCATTAAACTCCTTTAGTACATTATTTTCACAATTCATTAAATTCATTTCTGACAGTACTTCTTCTTTTTTTTTTTCTTTTTTTTTTTGACACTTCCAAATATACTATTTGCAACACTATTTCTTTTTTTTGTTTATTTTCAGCACTATTCATTAAATTCCTTTGCAACATTCCTTTTTTTATTTTCAACACTATTCATTAAATTCTTTTGTGATATTATTCTGTTATTTGTCAATCAATAATGCGACAATTTGTGACAATATTCCTTTTTCACATTTTGGACAATCAAATTTGTGACAATAAAAATTTTTTGACACTATTCTGCCACACAGTTGAAAGTTATTGTCATGCAAGCAAATAAGATAAAGTACAGCATCAACAACAACTTCTAGATACAGTACAACATCAACAGCAACTTGCAGTTGTTTCAGATTTTAATTCAGATCAACTTTTAGTATCATCGTTCTTGTTACCGAAGATTTTTAAATAAAATTATATTAGAAAGGACCTTGAAAAGAGTTAAAAAAAAACAAAGATAAACATCAAAAATGTTTATAACAGAAACTATTTTAGTAGATTTTAATAAACTTTTTAATTAAAAAAAAAAAAAGTAAAAGATTTTTATCTGTCAAATTTATAAACAAAATTCAAAGTTTTCTAATTTGCTACCAAGAATATGGATCGTCTGTAAGAAAGCATAATTAAGATACTATGATTCAGTTATGTTTTTTTGTCTTTTATCAACATTTTCGAAGTGATTTACTCTTAAGAAATGATTTGTTAAAAGAGTTAATTCATATATTTTATTTTTTTGGGAAGCTTTTTATTGAATGATTAAAGCATATATTAGATATTTTATTTAATAATATATTTTATTTATGAAAAATTGTAAAAGTATCCAAAATCCTAAAATTAACTCAATCATAAACGCTGGAAAGTTGTGACTTGCAGCTGAATATGAAAGTAAACAAGTTTTCTATTGCAAATAGGTTGCAATGAGCGATGTTTTTCTAAAGATTGTTCTGCTATTAAAGTTTGTTATCATTCATGTTGGGGGCCATCCATAAAGTACGTAGGCAGTAAAACTACTGATTTACAACCCCCTCCCCCTTGTACAAACATGTATGCTTTCAAAGACCCTATAAATATTTCAAAGAAGTAAAAACAAAAAAAACATTTAGTTTATTTGACATTTCTCTGTAATTAAAACTTAAAATGTTACTTAATGTACTTTTGTAAATCTTAAAATGTTACAACATACTTTAACATTCTAAGAGAAATGTTAAAAACCAGTTTGCGTACAGTAATTTAAAAAAAAAAGAATTCAAAAAAAGTTTGCATTTATTTGACGTCTTTTTGCTTCTCATCTTGCTATTAAACAAGTTAGGTTGCGAGATTATTTTAAACGATTGTTGTTCGATTTCTTTTTTCTCTCATTATTTAAAATTTATATAAATTTAAAAAAAAATTGTGACTGAAGTCAGAAAAAAAAATACAATACTGACTAACACACACATTAAATTAAATGTTTAAAAAAATAAATAAATAATTCAAGTTTAGGAGAGATAATCAAAATGCGTACAAACTCACTGTCTTTAACCCCCCTCCAACTTGTACGCATTCGTACGCTTTTGGGATACCACTTCCCCATACCTGTGTACGTACTTTAGGGGTGGCCCCTTGCTACAAAGCATATATAAGGTGTGTTTAAAATAACATTGTTAAAAAATCTTTTCATCTATAAAAATTCATACGATTTATTCTGTAGTAAAGCAATAGAAGATCGCTTGAATATAGAAAGTGAAATAAGCAATAAAAGCAATGCTCGTCTAAAGAGTTTTTCATGTTGCAATAAATGACACTTATTATTTATTCTTGTAATATTAACGTAACAAACATATGCTTGACATATTATATGACATAGGTGCGACGAAACTTTTTGTAAAAAAATAGACAGAAAGGAATGTCACTTTTCTATATTTTTGTATATTTTTAAAAACACATGCATTACTTCAGCAATTTTTTTTCCAAATAGTTATGCGATTGATAGTTTTTACTAAAATTTAAAACATTTTTTAAAGACCATGCTAAAACATGATTGTTTCTTTCAATAGCGTTACTATTAAGTAAAATAACTAAGTACGCAATCAAAGAAAGTAATTATGTTTTAACATGGTTTTTGCATGTGTTAACAAAAGCATTTAAAATTTCACTTAAAATGAATACACTTGCATATACTTTAAAAGAAACCATGCTTAAACATTACGATTGCTTTTTTCTATAGCGTACTTTTTTTTTTAGTTTTCTTATTTTTCTTAAAGTGAAGTAATATTTATTTACGTATTAAAAACACTTTTAAAAATGTTGAAAAGAATATTTAAGTTTTGCTGAAATAAATTCAATTCAATAGAATATATAGAATTAATTTTTATTGTATATATTTTTTTTAATTATACGTTTAACAACTCTGATAATATTATATTTTTATTAACTTGTTAAATATTTAATATGGTATTATTTTTAAAAGTTTAAACAATAAATGTCAAAACAACTTTTATTTTATTTTTAGCTCCTTTTATTTTTTTTTATTTGTAAATGAACTTAGCGAACTAAATTGAGAAATTCATTGTTTAGTATCAATAGATAACAATTTACAATCGTTAAGTCATTGCATATTAATTATCACTAATTTGCGCGCAAATGCGTGAAAAGTTGTTTTGAAGAAATAGAAATTAGTTAAATTCAGTAAGCATCATTGATATATCTAATAACTTATTAACTAGAATAAAACTTATTTGAAAAAAAAACTTCCTTGACATATATCTCTTAAATTAGACATGGTTTGTCATTAAATAAAGTGGTTAGTTAAAGACGTGGTTTGTCATTAAATAAAGATATAAATGTCAATGTTTATTTAAAAGAAAACGATTTGTCTCTCTCTGAGCTTGTAACAAGTATAAAACCAAAATTTTGTAATTAACAACCAATTTTTTTAATGAATAAACAGATTACTCTTCAAAAAAAGGAAAGCTCACCTAAGAAGATGTTTAGAGGAGCCGATTTAATAGCTCGTCATGTCCACACTCGTTTCTTCCTGCTGAGGCCTGGAAATTCTTATTTAGAGATAAAGTAAAACGTAAAGTGAACTGTTCACCATGTGCTCTTGTTGTACTTAGTTTTTTAAAAAGATCTTATGCATTTATTTTTAAAGTTATGTTTGTCAAATTTTTTCAGTTATAATGCAAATATCTAAGTTTTCTTGTACACAATTTCAAATTTTTTTAGCAATTAGTAATTCATCAGCATATTTTTAGGGACTAAGGGACAATGGCTAAGTGCATGGCGTGCACTGGATATTTTACTCTAGTATATTTTAGGGAAATTTAAGAGAAGTCATTAAAAAGTCATTGAATTTCATTTTCAAATTTGAGTGGCCACCCCAGAATTTATATTTATTTCTGTAGTAAGATGCTTTACAGATGGCAATAAGTTGAGCAATAGTATCAGTCAAGAAATTATGTTTGTCGTAAAGGTCAGATAGGTATAAATGTTGATGTTGTTTTATGTATTTTAGGATATCTGCAGTCATCGATTTTGTCATAGACTTTAATAACACTCAGAGGCTGATGTTTTTTTTGTGCATCAGTTATAGCATTCTAGAAGGTTGAGAAAGAGCCAGGTGGGTTCATTCTCATAAATCAACATTAAAAAAAGCGAATAAATTAAATTAGAGACTGCTGAGTATGGTTTTAATGCTCTAGAAAAGTATTTTTAATCAGTTCAAATTGTTTTTATCATTTGAGCAAATCAGTTTTAATAATTTATTTTAAATCTTAAATAAAAATATTAAACTTGATATAACTTAATATAAAAACTATTATAAAAATTAAGTTTATAATAAAGTTTAATGTATTCAAGTTTGTAAAATGTTTTTTTTTTTTTAGAATATTTTTTAATAATGCAAAGATCTAATGTGCTGCCTTCACCTTCTAATCGGTATTTTTTTATTTATTAAATGTGATCTGCATGTGTTTTGTTTAATAAAAGCTGATCACCCCTTAAAGATGCAATAGCAAATATAAAATGTCTCATGTTTACAAAGTTTTTGCAAATTTGAAAGTTCTCTGAAAGTAGTTTAAAATCTTAAAAGATCTACAAGGTACTACTATTTATAAACAAGCATACATGAAAGAAAAATTGACAAATAAGGCATTTTATTTATTTTGATGCAACATTCCATTGTTATTTTATTATGTATTTAATATTTCATTCTCTCAATGGGTGTCTAAATATTATTATATTGTTTAATGACATTTAAATCTAATTTTCTTTTTAAAACTATTATTATATACTAATAATCTTATAATCTATTATTGTAATTATAATATTTTTTACACTTAAATTTTTATATTCATTCCAATTTTGCTAGGTAAGGTTAAACATTTCTTGTTGTTATCTCCTAATTAATGGGAGGGGGTGTGCGGCAGCTCTGAAACTCAGTTTAACAGTTCTGAGACTGGTTGGTAATAGGGTTAACAGCACTTTTTATAGATTGAAGGTGTCCTAAATAGTGTTTTTTGTATGCACTGTCAAGGTCTCATAAGAAGCCTTTCGCTACAACTTTAATTTAATTTGAAGGAATGATACTAAGGAAAAACTCATTTTTAATGTGTATTACACTATTTTTGTTTGAGTTAAGTTCTCTATTAACTTAAAACATGAAAAATGCGCCTAAAAATATTAAACAAAAAAAACCATCATAACTACTTTAATCCTTTACAAATATTTGTGGTCTTTGAAGTAACTTATTATCAGTTGAATCTTAGCGCTTTCAAAATTCACCATACTAACTTGTCTTATGTAAGTCTAATGTAAATTTGGCTGTTTCATCTTAAGATGTTCATCTTAATCTCAGTGTTGATTCATTTAGCTCTATTTGACTTAATCACTTTCTTTTTTTTTTTGTACTTATCCCCAAGCAAAAAAATGTATTATCTCATTTATTATCTCTCTCATGTCATCTTTCTCGCCACTCATTTTCTGTTAAATATGAAAGATAATCCTATGTGGCGAGATAATTATGATAAAATTATAAGAATATAATAAAAAAAGTATAATAAGAATATAATTAAAAAAATATGATAAGAATAAAAGAAATAAAAAGTTATCATTATAGTTACTTAAATTTCCAAATAAAATCAAAATTTACAAATCACTTAATAAATAACTTAAATTTAACATCTAATAAAATAAATAAAATAAAACTTGAGTACCTTTTTCATAATTTTTTCAACTTATTTTTGGGTATATTAGAGTTTCTTTCTTTCGGAGAATGCCTGACCAAAGAAAAATGTGTGTTCTGAATTTAATATTATATAATATAATGCTTGTTTGGATTCCAATATTAAAAGTATTTAAAAAATCCAATTATAATTTCAATTTACTATGTAAACCTATTAAATATTTAAAACTATTGATAAAGAACAAGATAGAGAAATTAAAAAAAAATAATACATCATGAAAAATCAAGCTAACACCACACTTTTATTTTTTAATTAAACTAAACTTGATATTTATACTATTCTAAGCTATCATCTTTACTAATTTTTTATGATATTTCAGGCCTTGTTTTAAATTTTAAAAATGCTTAACGCAATAGCCTAATGTGAGTTAGACATAAAATGTTATTTAACTTCTTTTTTATTATTACTATAAGGAAATGTTTAATTTCTTTAAATATTAAATAATTAAATTTAATATTACATGTTTTAAAATGTTAGATGTTAACAAATTTCTTTCTTTTCTCAAAATTTGCGCAAATGAATTAAAATATGTTAAATTTTTGAATTTTTAAATGAATATTTCTTAAATTTCTAATTGCGGCTTTGCAACTACAAATAATTTTTAATTTTAAAAAAATTAGTAACAAATAAAAAAATTACATTAATATATTTACTTTATTTATTAAAAGTTTATTATTTTGTTAGCAATTGTAGATTAATTTTCCAAGTATCATTTATCAAAATTATATCGCTGTATATATCATTTATTTAAAAATAATTGCTGCTATTGAGCTTGCATTATAAAGAAAAAAGTTTAACTTGCATTTTGTTCAATTTTTGATGCAGCCATTTATTTAAAATTTAGTTTTATAGTAAGAAATAAAAATATTTAGGAAGGAAAACCAAAAAAACAATTGCGATAAAAATGAGCTATTTTTTTTTTAAGATTAAATAAAATTTATTCTTAAAAAAAAATTAATTGAACATTATAATTTTATTTTATTTATAATTGAATATTATAAATAGAATAAAATTATGTATTTTTATTAAATTACTCTTTAATTAAATCATATATTTTTTATCAGAATTAAATTATATTATTATGATCTTTGCTTCAAACTTGAAGTATTAGAGTTTTTCAAGCAGAAAAATCAATCATTACAATAAAATACAAACAAAATAAAAATAAATTAAAAATTTTATTTGAATTTTTTTCATTAGTAAATAGCGCTTATATCTAATATAATTGTCATTCAAACTTTTGTAACAAATATTTTTACATAAACGTCATTCAAAAGTTAATGTGATTTTTTAAAAAAGTTAAATACTTATTTTTATCTTACTGCTTATAGGATAATTGAAAAGTTAAAAAATGATTAAAAGTTGCTTAACCACAATTGCTTACTGCTTACATAAAATCGCTTAATGCATACGTAAGTTGCTTATGCGTAACGCTTTAAAACAAGGCTTGATATTTGTATTAACTCAATAAGTCTTTGTTTGAATGTAAATGAGGAGCGAAGAATAATATTTATATGTATCTAAAAAACTAAAGTATCTGATCCTTAGAAGCTATGGTGGAGATCCTTAGAAGCTATGGTGGAGATCTTAGAAGCTATGGTGGAGATCTTAGCTCTAAAAGTTACAGTATAAATAAATAAAATCATTAAACACTAACAAAAAATGGAAATGATTTTTGATTAGCTGTGCTGCTAAAAATATAAATGCAGGTTAAACCATTATTATTCAATTTTGAATATTTTAAACAAAGAAATTTGCTGAAATGCAAACAACTAACCAAAAAAAAAAAAACAATTGTAAAGTTTATTAAGTTTTTAAAAAGTAAATTAAAATCTTACCTGATTTCCATTAAATATCATTACCAGACAGTATCACTTTACTTAATAATTAGATTCATACAAAAAACAATAAGCATAAAAACATAAAATTATGTAAAATCAATAAAATAAAAAAAGTACGATTTATAAATATAAGTTAGATAATAACAACTTTATAACAGACATAAATGTCACAGGCTTTGTTTTAAATAAAAAAATGCTGAACGCACTAACTCAACATAAATTTGATGTCATAAAGTTCTCTTTTTTAACTTTTTTTCTCTTTTTTTTTTTTAAGAACATTAATTTTTTTAAACTACTGAAAAATAATAAATTACCGCAAAACGAGTTCGATTGAAAAATTATGTAAACATATTATGGAATGTATTTATAAATATGAAATTACTAAAAAAGATTTAACTAAGAATAACAAATTTTTTTAATAAAAGAAGGAAAAAGCAATAAAAAGCTTTTTTATCCAAAGTTCTCATTGGCGATATTTTCTCATTTCATTATTTTCTTAAAAAGCTGTGTCAAACATTATATATTAAGTTTCTAGATATTTAATAAGATTATTCTTTTGTAAAGCTGTAAAATGAACAAAAAATTTTTATTTCAAATAACTTTTTACTTTTTTATTATTATGATGGTAATTATTTTGTTATAATTGTTGTAATTATTAAAATTTATATTGTATTATACTCAAATGACTTTCTTCATAAATTTATAACATATAGACAGGAGAAATCATTTACAAAAACCTTAATGATGCAGCAATTAAGTTGGGTTCTTCCTTACAGTAGCAAATTTTAATGTTATTAATTTTCGTTTAATTTTTTTTTAGACGAAGTCTCCCATACTATCTGCAGCCAGATTATAAAATTCATGAGTTTAACAAACGCTTACAGCATGGAGCTATGGTTAGAAACCTTTAAGCAGCTTTGTGTTTTTGTTTTTTCTTTTAATTATTATATATTTTAAATAATGTCACACAAGATATAACAAAAAAGGTTCAGCTGATCTTTCTTTAGAGCTAAATAATATTTAAAAACATAAACTAAAGTGTTATTTTCCATCTTAACCTTCTTACTAAAGGTAATGCTATGAGTTTTTGAAAATTAAAAAAAGTATGAAAATAATAGCATTTTTTATTAATTTTTAAGGTTTTTAAATTTTGTTATAAAATCTCTACAAGATGAACAAATTTTGACTAAAAAATGAAGTTAAAAGATTCATAAGTAATCATTAGTTATTATTTTTATTATTGTTAGTTTTAATAAGTTATCATTAGTTATTATTTTTATTATTGTTAGTTTTCATAAGTAATCATTAGTTATTATTTTTATTATTGTTAGTTTTAATAAGTAATCATTAGTTATTATTTTTATTATTGTTAGTTTTCATAAGTAATCATTAGTTATTATTTTTATTATTGTTAGTTTTAATAAGTAATCATTAGTTATTATTTTTATTATTGTTAGTTTTAATAAGTAATCATTAGTTATTATTTTTATTATTGTTAGTTTTAATAAGTAATCATTAGTTATTATTTTTATTATTGTTAGTTTTAATTATTTAATAATAGTATGTATGAAAAAATATTTCTTTAATTAATTATTAATTTTAAGTAATATTTAAGATATTTCTTTTAATTGAAGAATAATAGAATTGATTTTGCATATTTTTTTATTTATAATTGTTGTTAGCATTTATCACTGTATTATTTTTATTTTGAAAATGTTTAATGTTTTTATATACCTTTTAAATACCTTTTATTTACTTTATAATTTTTATATTCCTTTTATACTTTGAAAAATAGGTTTGTTTAAAAAAAAAGATTTCTTGGTGTATTTAGCAGATAAAGTTGTGACATACTTTTGGTTTTAATCTCTATGTAAACCTTTACATTCCAAAATACGTCTTTTGGTGTTCATGTTTGTTCCAAAGTACCTTTTTAAACAATAATCCTATATATTTTACTTTAAAACTCAAAAACTAAAGGTTGCATTGCATTTCTGACCTTTAATTTCAAATCAATGGTTCACAGCAGTCTGTGAAAACAATATTTATCAAAGGCTATTTTTCTAACCTTAAAAAGTTAATTTAAACTTATGATTTGAAATCTCAAATGTTATTTACATTTCTTATCAACCTTGTTTTATAGACATTTATTATGTATATTTATATATAAAAGGTACAAAAGAACATGTAACAAAATTAAGGTATAACACTAGTACTCTATAGAAATGCATTTTCTTAGTGTCAATGTCATAGTTTTGACTACAGGTTTTGCAAAATGTGAAAAAAATAAAAGTGCTATAAGAATATGTTTTAATTATTCTATTTAAATATGCTTTGAAAATGTTAAAAATTTCAATTTTATTACCTAAATATATGTTTCAACCTGTTTTTTTCTCAAAAAGTGTCTATTTATTGAAAAAGTGCCATGTAAAATTTCTTAAATATTTTACATAGCACTTTTTCTCACGTGGCATTTTTGCAAAAAGACTTGTTTAAGTAAAGGCTGTCAATTATTTTAATTAATTGGAATTTGATAAACCAGTTACATCTATTCAGTTTTATCCATCTGAATATTTTTTGAACAACATGGATTTGATAAAAAATTAATACTCTTTGTTAATAAGTCAATTACGATAAAAATGACAATAATAATATCATTTTTATCATTCTTTTCTTCACAGTTGATTAAAAGTTTGTGCTTTTGACCTTTGAGTTAGTAATAAAAATTCCCTCAGCCAGGAAGGGAATCTGAGTTTTGAGCACTGAATCTGAAAAAACATTTAGAAAAGTGAATATTGTCAAGGTTACAGCAACTTGAAACATCACACTTAAATTTAATTGTTAAAAAATTTTTGACTTGGTCTTCCATTATTTGCATCCCACAGGCTTTGGTATTGGTGGTACTTAAAAATGTTCAATATATTCAGCATAATTATTAGTTATTAGTCCTTTCTTTCCAATCATAGTATAAAAGTTGTCCTCGATGGACAACACTCTTCTTCACATCCTGTAACTTCAGGGGTTCCTCAAGGTTCAATCCTTGGCCCTATACTTTTTTTAATTTACATTAACGATCTTCCAGATATTCTCACATCTAAGGTGGCATTATTCGCTGACGACACTACCATTTACTCTTGTCATGATAAGAAGCCTACACTCTCTGATTGCTTGGAGGGAGTATCTGAGCTTGAAAAGGATCTCACTTCTGCTACAGCATGGGGCTCACAGTGGCTGGTGAACTTTAATTCAGATAAAACTCAATTTTATTCGGCCAATCGTTATCGTAATAATTTAGATCTTCCTATATTTATGAATGGTAATGTACTAGATGAGTCATCTACCATCCATCTTCTAGGATTAACTCTTACTTCTGATCTTTCTTTTAAAGCGTATATCAAATCCATTGCAAAATTAGCATCTGCTAAGGTTGCATCTCTTTATCGAGCTTGACACTTTCTTACTCCAGATTCTATTCTCTATCTCTATAAATCTCAAATCCGTCCCTGTATGGAATACTGTTGCCACATCTGGGGCGGATCTTCTAATGATGCTCTTTCTCTTTTAGACAAGGTGCAAAAACGAATTGTAAACATAGTTGGACCTGCTCTGGCAGCCAATCTCCAACCTTTGTCACATCGTTGTAATGTTGCTTCTCTTTCTCTTTTCTACAAATACTATAATGGGCACTGCTCTAAAGAGCTAGCGTCCCTTGTGCCATCTACTAAAGTTCATTCTCGTGTTACTCGCCATTCAATTAAGTCTCATCCTTTTTCTGTGACTGTTCCTAAGTGCTTCAAAAACTCTTATTCTTCTAGTTTTTTTCCTCGAACATCAGTTCTTTGGAATTCGCTTCCTTCATCTTGCTTTCCTGATTCATATAATTTGCAATCTTTTAAGTCATCAGTCAATCGTTATCTTGCTCTACAGATTTAGTCTTTTCTCTTCCAGTAACTTCCAACTCTTATAGTGGTTGCTTGCAGCCTTGTTGGAAGTGAAGATGTTAAAAAAAAAAAAAAAAAAGTTACTATTTTTAATTATACTTCAACCAGAGTTTCTGCAGCTTTAGCAAAAAAATATTTTTTATATCCCTGTCAATTGTTTTTCCGGATATATTTAATTATGTTTCATTTAGAATGACGATTAGGCAAAACTGTCCCTGCTAACTCTCAAATAAGCGGAGCTTTGCAGTAACAAAAATTGTTTTATCTGACTTTCTGAAACACAAATATAAAGCTTGAAGTTTTCAATTAAAACTACAAAACATGTCATGAGTATAGTAGCATTGCTGCTATCTAAGATCAAATAGCAATATATGTTGGTCAAAAGTATGGCACATCATTAGCAAATTTGTTTGGGTCATTTATACAACCTGCATAAACTTACGGTATAAGCTTATGTACCTTTAACACAATCCCCCTTGTCTCCTTCTTCATCCATTTGACATCTTTTCATTCCAGACTTGATTTTAACACAATCCCCCTTGTCTCCTTCTTCATCCATTTGACATCTTTTCATTCCAGAATGGAATCTTGATTTTAACACAATCCCCCTTGTCTCCTTCTTCATCCATTTGACATCTTTTCATTCCAGAATGGAATCTTGATTTTAACACAATCCCCCTTGTCTCCTTCATCCATTTGACATCTTTTCATTCCAGAATGGAATCTTGATTTTAAAAGAATATTAATCTTTTTTTATTGATAAGTTTTCTTATGATTTAAAAAAACAAGCATTAATTAAGAATTATTTAATTAGTGCTTATGTACATTTATAGTAGATACCTACTCCAACCCTATCCCCATCCATATATTTATATATAGATGGGGGTAGCGTACTTTATATGTTATATCTTTTTATTTAGTTAACTTGATCCACCAGAATTTGTTTAGTAAGTAAAAGTTTAGTTTGTAGTTAAAAAAAAGTAGTTTATAATTAAAAAGTTCTTTGTTTGTGTATTTTTTTAGTTTCTTTAGTTTAAACTTTTTTTTAAATTTTAAAAAATCATTTAATTAAATCAAGCATCAATAAAAACGGAAATAATATAAAAAATTATTCAGGTTTTTTATTTTTCTACTAAATCAGATAAAATATTTTGTTTTATTTGTTATTAAGGTGCTTTAAGAACACCTAATGATCTTGTCACAGCACCACAAAAATGCATTTATTAAGGATTACAGATGGTCAGAGCAAGACTTGAACTTTGTTTTTTAGTTAGCATTTTAACTACTGTTTCAAAACTTCTTATAATACTTTTTAAAATTTTATAACATAAAAAAAGTGAGCACTAAATAATTAAAAAAGATAATTTGTAAAAAATCTAAAGGTTTTTTCTTTTTTTTTTTTTTTTCTTTTTTTTTTTTTTTTTTTCCATATGAATCTAAAATGATTTAATTTTTATAACAAATCTGTTACAAATTCTTGAATCTGTAATGAGGAGCAAACACTTCAATCATTGTCTTTCTTTTTTTCTTCAGAAAGTTGAGCAGTTATGGTGGGATGAACTTATCAATGAATTTTTTGAAGACATGTCAACTCTTACAGTCCATTTTAAAGAAAAGAGTCATGTGAGGAAATACAGTAAGTATACAGAAATTAACTATGATAAATATTGAGCTAAAACTTAAAGGCTAGCTATAAGCTTTTTGTTAACTAAACTTTGTTGTATATAACCCTTTTGACCTATTCAAAACACTTATTCATGTCTTATTCACACACCATTTAACAGATTTTACACAAGTGAGTCACTTTGATACTTCATAAGAGTGTTAAATAACATTTTTAACCTCTTCAGTTGATAAATGACATGTTTGAAGCAACTTTTTGGTTGGTAAATGACATGTGCAGTAAGGTGGTCAAGAAACTTTATTAGACTGTACACATTATATTCTACTTTTACTAGACCATTTTTTTGCCACCAACACTGAATAAAACAGATTAACATCTTTTTCGCTATCAAAAAGATTTAAACCTAAACCATAAGATTTTTTTATGGTTTGAGGACAACTTTTTGTATGACTTTGATGTATATGACATAATTTGAGGGCATGAATAACTTTAAGTTGTTTAAAAATTTACCTTGTGCCTTAGAAATATTAGTGGGATGTTATGCTGTCAAGCATTTCACAAAGATTTTCATCCTTTAAAGCAGACTTAAAAAAAGAAGAAATGACACAAAGAAAACATATCAAAGCACAATTAAGGATTGTAATTCTGCAAACCGAGATTGCTAAAATTTTTCAAATCAAAAACTATTTAAACTATTGAAAGAATGTTGATTGATAATTTGAAAATTTCTGGTATGGATTCAGCTGAATTTAAATTTGCTTGGGATTAAAAACTCTGAGATTTAGAAAATTTACACTTTTTCTTTTAATTTATCATAATTAAATCTTAAAAGTTTATTAAGTTTATTTTAATTATATTTAAATATATATATTTTATTTTATATGTATTTTATACAAGTTAATATTATATAGTATTATATTCATCTAAAATATTTCAACTTTAGCAATTCATCGACGTCTTATACCACGCTTTTTTCGAAGTTTGTTTGATGGAGGAGTAGCCAAAATTTTCTTTATGGTTCTGGAAACTAAAGAAAATCTGTTAAATTCAAGTGTAACACTGGAATGTAAACAATCATCAATGATTGTTAGTTACTCAAAGCCGAATGCTACAAAGGTATTCTTATGATTATTGTATCTCTTTTGATTAATGTTTGTGCTATAAGAAAATACAACATATAAATGTTAATGATAAATAAATGAAATAGAATAATAAAAAATATAATTACACAAGTAATAAATAATAATTCAAAGCTAATTTAATATGATTTTTATTAAAGTCAAATTATTAATAAAAATCTTTTTATAAATATTGCTTGCTCAACACTGTTAATTCAGGTTCTAGAATATATACAAGTTTGTTTATGTTTGATTGAGTCTTTTTGGTATATCTATTTTTTTAATATTTGAATAAGATCCAATTAATTTTAAGTTTAATAGGTCTTAATTTTAGTACAAACTGTTGTGATGCTAAATAAAGATTTAACATTAGCTAAACAAAACTTTTGAAGCAAGTTTTAAGTTTTTAATTTAATTTTAGTTATTTTAAATTTCTAAATTTTTAAGTGTTTTTCTCTTATGGTTTATTTAATTTTGTCTTTGTATTTTTAAAATAATTGCCATGAATACAATCTGTTAAGAGTTGAAACTCATCACACCTAAAGCCCAATGTTTTACAACATTGTTAGACTAATTAAAGAATTTCTACAAATATACATAATTAAAAAATAAGAAGAAAAAATAGTAAAAATTTTTTAAAGAGTTACATGTTTTTGGTTTTTAAGCTTGTTTGAAATTGTATAAAATAATATACTTAAAAAAAAATATTTTTTAAGTTGAAATTAGTAACCATCTAATATTGATTGAAAATTTATTTGCTATTAAAAATTCTTTCGTTTACAGCTTTGCTTGTTGTTATATGTAATTGTAAATTTATTATTTAATAAGTTAAAATTAGAAGATAGCAAATTAAGAAATCAAGGAGACAAAAATCTTTCAAATTCCATTAACTGGTTTAGTACAATTTTTTTTATAAAATAAAATTATGCTTAATTCTTTGTTTCTTGTAAACAACATCATTTTCCTCATAATAATAAAGGAATAATAATGGTAGCTAACCAAAATGTAATACTTTTAGTTGAATATGTCATTCTATAGTCAATTGCTATAGTTTCATGAACTTTCATAAAAAGTGTTATAGAGAAACCATTGAAACATTTGAATAAAAGTTGATTACTTTAAATGATAATTCGTAAACCTCCATTACAATCTAAATGAAATTTTTTTAATGTATTAGTTTTTATATTTTAAAAAAATGGTTTTAAAATAAAGTTAAATGTCAGTATTACCATTTTGATAGCGTCTGAAGGACTGCTCATTTATGAAACACTTTTTTGTTGTTATTGTCTTTAAAAGGTCATCTATAATACATTATATATAAATATAAATTATTTATATATAATACATTATATATAAATATAAAATTATCTATATATAATACATTATATATAAATATAAATGGAAAATATCAAGTTGACAAAGTAACCTTTTTATTTTTATTAAAATCTTTTCAATAATAAAATAGAAATATTTCAAATACTAATTGTTGGATCCATTTTTCAATTTAAATTATTAAAGGTCATTGCAGTACAAAGACAAGCTAGTTTTTAGCTTGATTTCGAGTTTTTTACTTTAGGCAGGTTTCTAGATTTTTTTAAATTCAGTTGGTTATTTTTCATATGCGCAAGCAAATCTCTCCATTGAGTTGTTTTGAAATACTAAGCCGCTTCCTTATTCATACCTGAGTTTGAAGTGTCATAATTTTGTAGTTCAATAGATTTATAAAAGTTACTTTCTGGTTTTAATGATTTAGCACTTTTCTAATCTATACAAACTTTGCAATGTTCAGCCAATCTCAAGTCTGTCAGTGTTTTCAAATTAAGTACTGATGCTGCTTCATTCTTATTTTTTATTAAACTACCTGTTTCACCTAAGCATTTATTCCACATAAACATGGAACAAAAATTGAAGTCAGAATAAGATGATAAAGATTGCTTTGGTTCCAATTTTTGCACAAGTTTTTAGTCTAATAGTTTTTGTTTAAAAGTTTTTTATATAACTTATTTCTTTTATATCCATTTTCAAGAAAAAATGTAAGAAATTTATTTTTAAATGCTTTGTGGCAATATTTGTTTTATTCACTATATATATATATATATATATATATATATATATATATATATATATATATATATATATATATATATATATATATATATATATATATATATATATATATATATATATATATATATATATATATATATATATATATATATATATATATAGGGGAAGTAGGGGCATAACTGCCCCCGTAACGTTTGGATTAATGTTATACAAAAATAAAAACGAAATGTGTTTTTTTAGAAGTTTATTTCAATAACCACATCATTAAGCTTTAAATTGATGCATTTAAGTAAAAAATTGAACGGGTTTTGAAAATTTTATTACGCAAAAATTACACTTAGTGAAAAAAACGGTATTGCCCCCATTGTGAGGTACAACCGCACCCTCACAAAAATCGATGGAGCTACACCTTTCATGGTACATTTTTTTTACAATTTTCACAGCTCAGATTATTTGATGACTTTGTTGCATGTTTGCATACTGTCCAGGCATTTTTTGTATTTACATTTTGAGTTTTGCCCCAGAAGAGAGTTCTGCCCAAGAAGAGAGTTTTTAGAAGAATTGAGTTTCATAGCTTAATTATTAGATTATGGTATTATCAAAAATGGCTTTCACTTCATGAAATAATGCTGATAACATATATCTTTAACACTAAAATCAAATATTGCTTAATTCTCAAAAAAAAAGTCAGGAAAAATATGATGTAAATATAATATTTTTATGAAAATGAACATTATTATTCACAACTTCTCAGAAACTTAACAGTCACTCTTTTTGACATATGCAAAATGAAGGAAAATGCTTTACTAACGTGTGGTATGTTTTTTTCCATATTAGAAAACATTTTTTGAAGAGAAATGTTAAAAAACGGTTGTGCCTCCATATGCACTTGTGCCCCCACTTCCCCTATATATATATATATATATATATATATATATATATATATATATATATATATATATATATATATATATATATATATATATATATATATATATATATATATATATATATATATATATATATATATATATATATATATATATATATATATATATATATATATATATATATATATATATATATATATATATATATATGTATATATAAAACATAAATTAGGTGGCATGGATTTAGATTTTTGACACCACAAAATATTTGTGAATATTTCTGAACAAATGTTTTTTGATAATCTAATTATTGTATAATTTTGACAAACTGTATTGGTTTTGAGTAAGTCAGCGTTTCTGCTTGTACAAAAAAAAATTTTTTTTTTTGTTTCTAGGTTATTGCGTGTGATTGGTTAGTTAATTTGTTTGTTATAACCACTTTTCTAAATATTTTAAGCGTTTTCCAATTGCAGTATCCAGAGAATTAAACTCATTATTCTACCTTTTCAATTTTGATTGTGAACTATATGTTTTGATTAACTAAGTTATAAAAAGTAAAAATTGTCAACTTACATGTTTTCATTACTTGACTTATTACACAGGTAGAAAAAAAAAAAGGTTGTTTTCTGATGTCGAGCAAACAACATTTTTTGTTTTGCATTTCTCATTTTGATTTCAAATTTGCAATCCTTTTTTTCTCTTGCATCAAGTTTTAAAGATAGTTAAATTCAAATCCTTAACATTTGGGGTAAAGTCACTAATATTTTCAAGAAAAAAATATTTAAAATATATTAACCTGAATTTCAAAAAAAAAGCATATTACATTAAAAAAAAATGGATTTTATATTTTTTATTTAAGATATGAAACAAAACATTACACTGTAGAACCTGAAAAATTGTTACTAAAATGTATTTTATATATATATATATATATATATATATATATATATATATATATATATATATATATATATATATATATATATATATATATATATATATCTTGACCCTTTTAATTTTTAAATAACTTAATTTATATGACTTATTTTGAAACAAAACACTTTATAATCATTATGTAACAGTTAATTTTCTTCTTTTTTTTTTCTTATTCCAGAAAAACTGTATGGTTAAGTTAGAAAAGAAGTGGGGAAATGTATATCGGTATACACTTGAGTAGATGTATATATACATATACTTTTTTTTTTGGAGGGGGGGGTGTTATTGATTAAGTGGCCTTTAAAATATATATATATATTTGACATTTTCAACTTTTCAATAATAAAATAAAAAGATTAAGATGTTTTATATACTGTTTGTTTGGTTGACAACTATTTAATTTATATTGGTTACTTGCATACTTTTTGCATACAAGTTATATATATTCTTTTTTGTCTGAAAAGTGTCTGGACTAAAGTTGATATTTTAAAATTAAATATAGAATATATTAGGACAGTGAAAAATGGTAACTAATGCTTTTAAGAAGGATAAGTTTAATGATTAGTTTTAACGCTGAAGCAAAAAGATTAAGATATTTGTGCATTAACTTTTTTTTATTATTTATTTTCAGGTTCATGTTGATGGTAATTTATCTATTGAATTTTCTTTTGATGAATATATGCGTATTCGTAGCTGGAAGTTTATAGTTAAGGAGGTCTTAGAAATGGTTCCTAAATCACATGTGCTAAATTGTGCTGCAGAGAAAGCAAAGTTAGAAGAAATAACAAAAAAAATTACTGAATTTGGTTTTTCACCTGGTGCTGTTCAACATTTAAGGGTGAGTCTTAAATTATCAAGTTGTGTCTCATAAATTTTTTTATTAGTTTTTTATTTGAATATTTTTCTTATTTTTGATAATTTAAAAGTGTTTTTTAAGCAAAAAGTGAAATCCACTATATCTCTTATAGTCCCACATGCACCTTGTTTTTCAAGTTTTGTGTTGTAAAGTTGGTTTACCATTTAAAAAGAAAGATGAATATTTTGACTATAATAATCCTTTTGCCTTGAAAGTATATTAAATATAGTTGAAAAATAAATTAAAGAAAAATAAAGAACATTTTCAATTTATTTAATCTTTGTTTTTCTATCAAATTAAAAAAAGTACTGATAATTAATATTCATAAAAATCTACTGATTTTTTATGAATATAAATTATAACTAGTAACCAACCTGAAAACTAGTAACCAGGCCAATTTAACAGTAATTTCTTTTCCAAAAAAATAAAAGGTGCTTTTCATATACTTTCTGATAACATTTTTAGTACATTTATCTCAGATCAAAAATACTTTTACCGTATCTGTTTATCAATTCAATAAGGAGGGGTTTCAAATAAAATATCAAAAAGTTCTCCTGGAAACATTCATCATGTTCGGTGGCATACAAAAGCAAATCGTGTTTTATGTTTATGAACAGTTTATCTATAGCAGGCTTGGTCGGGAAGCGGGAGCGATCGCTCTCGATTGCTGACCAGGTAAATAATATTTAGTTGCGAAAAGCCGGCCAGATTTTTTAGCCGTTTTGAGAACATTTTAAAAAGCAAAAAAAAAAAAAACCGACAAAGATTAATTGGACCAATGAGAGACAGTTACAAAAAAAAATAGGCAAATAAAATATCTTTAAACGCAAAAAAACTTAAAGCTAAATAAATTACATTTAGAACAAATATTTTCGAAACATCGCTCTTTTACAATTTTTTTTATAAAATTAAGAGATGTTTTTTATATAAAGTAACAACTTACGATTGTTTGAAAGGGAAACAAATATTCTTTATTTAACTAAGTTTGCAAGTTTTAGTTTTACTTAAGCTTAATTTATTTTATAAATAAAAAAGTTAATTTTTTTAATACCTATTTTATGTTTCGCGTAGTTTGAAAAGTTTAACATATTTAAAGCGATTCTTCTTAGTAAGATAAACAAATGAAATAGTTAAATCATTTAATTACTATAGGAATTAAATTATCAAGATAGAAATCAACTAAAAAGGTTAAAAATACTTAATGACCAGGAAGCGAAACTGCTTCACAATATCGCTGATAATGTTTAGTGAGTGGGCTTTTAATTTTAATTAGTATTTAAAGCAGCAAAAAGTATAACGAGTTTTAAGAATGGCAATTTAAGCGAAAATAATTAGAGTTAGTAAACCTATATCTAGAAACTTTTCTTTAAATCTAATTATTTGCTATATATATTTGTGTTCTGTCGTGACCTCAGGCGCGATGCTTGTTCATCCGCGAGTTACTTTGTATGCGTTGTTTGTGTTTAGTAACCAGAAACTTCTTATATGTTTGTTACATAATTAGTTTTATTAACTTTAACGATTATAACTTCATTGAAAACGCAATTATTTTTGTAAGTCTTAGTTTAAATCATGAAAATTGCTTTAAAAGATACATTATGATAAAAAACAAATATACAAAATTACATTTACATAAAGAATACAATCTCTTTTAAAATAAAAAATAAGAATATACTAATAAAATCTATGATTTATAATAAACTTTTAAAATTTTGACAACTTAATATATATTTAAAACATTTATTTTTGTAAACAAATAATAAATATTTTTAAAACAATTTATGCTAGAAATCTCAAAACGTAACAAATCGTGAATAATACAAATTATAAAATATTTCAACAGAATACTCTAGAACTTTATTTCGCTTAATCAGCGTATTTTTTGAACCAATAGAATTAGTTTGTTCGTTAATTTGGCGGGTTTTTAGTGTTCGCAAATATTCTTTTTATTCTTGCGCTAAAAGATGTTTTGAGAACATTCAAGTTTTTTATGTTTCCATGTATGTCCGTAAAACAAAAATTTTTTGTTTCGTACATAAACTTAAATGTTCTCAAAACGACTAAAAAACCTGGCCAGTTTTACGCAACTAAGTATAATTTCCGTGGTCAGTATTCGAGAGCGATCGCTCTTGCTTCCCGACCAAGCCTGCTATAGTAAACCCATTTTCCTCTAAATTGTTATAAATTCTGATTCTGCGTGCGACCCCTACGGAGGCTAGCATATATGTGTATGTGTATATATATATAATATATATATATATATATATATATATATATATATATATATATATATATATATATATAAGGCCTTGTTTTAAAGCGTTAAGCTGCTGGCAATTTACATACGAATTACGTACCCGTAGAGCTTTTACATGAAGCAACTTATGATATTTTTTGAACTTATAAATTTTTATTTTTTTTGTTTTGTTAATTCACCTCCTCAAGGCCGAGAAGGCCACTACGAACGAGGAGGCTACTTATTTGTGGTTATATAACCCTTTCTCTCAACTCTATAACTCCGAAACATGAACCTTGACAAACAAGGCCGCTGCGCGGAGAAACGAGTTGAGCGCGGTAATTTGATAATTTACTCTACTGATAATACTATTATTATTGATAATATTGATATATATATAACTATATATATAATATATATATATATATATATATATATATATATATATATATATATATATATATATATATATATATATATATATATATATATATATTACATATATTACATATATATATATATATATATATATATATATATATATATATATATATATATATATATATATATATATATATATATTACATATATTACATATATATATATATATATATATATATATTGATTATTGATACTCTATTGATAATTTCAATAATTTACTCTATTACTATTGATAATTTGATAATTTACCATTTTGATAATTTACTCTACTACTATTTACACCACTACCGCAATTACTCTACTAAGCGGTGAGATAAAAGTAGTAATTAATTTTATAATAAACCACTTTGACAATTTTGTAAAAAAGTTTGACAATTATGTTAGATGTAAGCGCTATTTACTAATGAAAAAAACTAAAAGCGCTATTTACTAATAAAAAAAATTAAAAACTGCAAAAACTTAATCTCTATTAAGATAATTATTTTATCAAACAAAACAAAATTGTTTATAGTTAATTTTTGTAGTTAATTTTTTAATGCGAAGTTATTTAAAAAAAACACATAAAAGAAATATATATAATAAAAACTATTATTTATCATCTTGAGAGGACATATTGTATAACATTTATGCAACTTTTGATTGCATTAAAAAAATTTACTTAAGTTTCTATATAGTAATTTATACTTAATTG